GATTCAAACACAAAAATCAAAGTGAAAGACACATTTTTGAGAAAAAAAACCACATTTTTACATGAAAAATGTTTTTGAACAACGACAGATAAAATACAGAGGCGAGCGATCGGAAACGTCACCGGGTACATCAGGGAAAGGGTACATCAGGGAAAGGATTCCAGGGTACATCGAAAAGTTTTTAGGGTACTTCAATCAAAAATACTGTAGTTTTCCACTGGAAGATATTTTGCTATAAACCGCACCATTTTTTTTTGTTTTTTGTCTGTATTTATTTGAAAATTACCATTTTTCGTAGTTTTATGGATTGATAGATTTTTTGAAGTTTTTTGAAGGAGCTTATTATACTGAAATTGGCAATAGGAAACAAATCGAAAAACTCGATATTTATCAGAACGAACTTTCAACCAACACATTTAAAATGTGCCAGGACAAGAAGCATTATAAACTCTTCCATGTGAATTTCGAACAATTTTTTGGGATTCAAACACAAAAATCGAAGTGAAACCCACATTTTTGAGAAAAAACCACATTTTTACATGAAAAATGTTTTTGAACAACGACAGATAAAATACAGAGGCGAGCGATTGGAAACGTCACCGGAAACAACTGAAATCGAGAAGCTGGCCTAAAAATTAAACTTTTCAGGCAAATATTAGATATTTTCCGACTGGTTTCTGGTTTCGGTGGACCAAATTAGGATGTTTACTCAGTTTTGATGTTAGAATTCGAAATTCATGCATTTTCATAGATTTTTGTTTCGTCTCCACAGATTTTGACACCTGCAGAAAAATAGGACAGCGAAAAAACTAAAAGTAGATGAATTTCAGTCATAATTTTCAGAAGTTTCGACTAGCCAGTGCTCATTTTCATTCCTTGTCTGGAAAACCTTCCGAAAATTATTGCTTTCTCCACCTCCGCACTCCTTTTTCCTCTAGAAACCACTGAAGATATGTACGGGTTGTGGTGGTTGAAGCGAAAATTGGCAAAGTGGTCTATTGGTGTGTGTGCGTGCACGGAAACCTGCAGTCGCGAGTTCAAGTTCGACCAGATCCAAATGTTCTGTTTTTGTGTACTTGAAAACAAATTTCATTTCGTAGTCTTTTTAACGGTTTTGTATCTTTGTGTTTCCGAAAAATCCGAAGAGTTTGAAGAATTTGGATTTTTTTTCAAATTTATAATGCTTCTTGTCCTGGCACATTTGAAATGTGTCTTTGGTTGAAAGTTCGTTCTGATAAATATCGAGTTTTTGACTTGTTTCCTGGCCAATTTTATTGCCAATTTCAGTATAATAAGCTCCTTCAAAAAACTTCAAAAAATCTATCAATCCATAAAACTACAAAAAATGGTAATTTTCAAATAAATACAGACAAAAAACAAAAAAAAATGGTGCGGTTTATAGCAAAATATCTTCCAGTGGAAAACTACAGTATTTTTGATTGAAGTACCCTAAAAACTTTTCGATGTACCCTGGGATCCTTTCCCTGATGTACCCTTTCCCTGATGTACCCGGTGACGTTTCCAATCGCTCGCCTCTGTATTTTATCTGTCGTTGATCAAAAACATTTTTCATGTAAAAATGTGGTTTTTTTTCTCAAAAATGTGTCTTTCACTTTGATTTTTGTGTTTGAATCCCAAAAAATTGTTCGAAATTCACATGGAAAAGTTTCCAGAATTTTCTAGGCCAGCGGATGCAACGGCTCTTTGTCGATTTACGGGACATCTTTTTTTATTTTTGCTCCGATTTTCTAGATTTTTACCGTTTTTCGTAATTTTTTTGCAGAATTTTGCGGAAAAATTAATTTTCATGAATTTTTTTCAAGATCCCAATGTACCCTTTTTCAATGTACCCTTGGATACTGAGCCTGCGCGGAAACACCTTTGATTTTTTTTCAAAAGCTTTTCGACAATTGTTCCCCAATTTTTCGTGGTTTTGTGGTGAGAAAGCGGGCCAGAAAAATGTCTTATTGATGAAAAAGAGAACGAATCAGCCAAAACACACTTAATTCAGTAAATTTCTACAAAATGTCAGAAATGAAGGTACGTGATATCCTACTCAATTTATAGAAAAAAAGGGTCCGGAAAATCCAAACTGCAAAATTCCGAAAATTTTCAAAATCGGAGCATTCCCAATTCCAAAATTCCGAAATTTTTACATTACGAAAAGTCCCGAGAAAGCCATTACCAAGCATCCTAGAAAACATTTTTCATACAGCACCACTGAAAAAACTTGTGAAAGTGATCTAACATATATTCAGGTGTTCCTTATATCACACGTCATCTTAATTGTTTGCCTCTTTCGTTTCTTACTGACTTGTGACCCCTCTTCTCTTTTTAATCCCCCTTTTCCCCCTCCCTGCTTGTCTGCTTCTGAGTTTTCTTATATTGGATACATCTCCTCATATAGGGGTCATAAAGAGATCACTCGGGGATTCCTCGGGTCATATTACATAAACATTTATGGCTTACTTGGATACAATGTTTATTAGGTAACACGTTTAAAAATACACATTACAACTTATAGCAGAACAATACATAGGACTAGATAAATATTAAATGGAATGCCAAATATACAATATAGAGATCAGAAATAGAATATAACTGTTACGAATACCATCAAATTTGATAAGCATTCTCCATCACTGGGTAGTTGACATCTCCCATTTGCAACATGTTGTAGTTTACTTGATCAGGGGAAGGAGTATTCAATGGAGGGTTGAGTGGGTACATCATCATCATTTGAGGTTGCACTGCCACGTAGTTGATTTGATATGGATTGAATTGATTGTACACGTTGGTTGAAATCGGTCCAAATTCGCGAATCACTTTGTCAGACGACGCTGAAATTATCAAGTTGAAGATCTATTCATGTTCTAGTTGGATAAATTACCATTTTCCGGGAATGTGAGAGAACGCCGACGGCTTTCCTCGCGGGCAAGAATCCTCTGTACCACTACTGGATCCATCTCCTGAGAGTGTGCTCGTTCTCGGTAGCTGTTGCGATATCTTAACTCGTTGGTGACAGTCTGTCGGAAATCTGTATGAGTGAGGGGACGAGTTTCGTTTGTGTCGGTGTTGGTCTGGAATTTTTTTTATAGATATGGTTTTCTTTCTGTGAGTTCTGAAAATATTTTCCGTTTCCTACTCACCATTTCATTTCCGTTGACCAGTTTGCTCAAGTGATGAATATACTGCAAGGCGAGCCGAAGAGTTTTGATTTTGGGCATCTGTTTTCTCTCCTCTGGGCGAAGATACGGGATGCGCCTGAAAAAAAAATCTTAAATTCAGTGGGAAAATTTCGGAACTTACTGTTGGAGGACATCGAATGCCGCGTTGATCTTTTGGGACCGCTGCCATTCTTTTTCGCGACTTGCTTCTTTGCTTCTACCTTGACGGACTTTAGAGGTCTGCGTTGACGGTGTCGTGGATTTAGCCATACTTGGTGGAAACGAGGAATAGGGCCAGCTGATTGGGAGGATGGGATGTGAAAGAATGAGGAAGCACCGAGCCTGCGCAAGTTGTAAGGTCGAGTGGGCGGGACTTGGGGAGGGAGATCTCTTCTAGGTGGAGAGGATGCACACAGGTTTGGAGTTAGGAGGGGGCGGGGAATGGAAGATACGGTGAGAGAATTTGCTTTGGATAAGAAAAGAGACGAAATGGATATGTTCGTGGTTCTTTCGGTTATAATCTCAGTATCTGAAAAGCTTGAATGGAAATATAAAAACAAAATTTTTCCGAAAAAACTCAATTTACGTCTATTATTAGGTTGTCAGGAAAGTAACTGTTCATTTTTTATTAGTAAATAACACAAACACAAGAATAATCCAGAATTAGCAATATGCACCGTCGTGATCCACAACATGTTGGCAATGTTCAGGTAACTCGTGGGTACCATCCCTCCAAAAGCCAGCTAGTGGCAAGTCAAAGTATCCCTACAGTCCATTTTTTCAGGCATCAAGTGTGTTAAAGTCCTTAAGCTCCAGAAGACGTCGTATACTTTTGAATAACTAATGATCTGATAGAGCTGAATCAGGTCTTTAACGGGGGTAAAGGAGACCCGTCCAGCCAAAGCGGCTCAGGTACGGCGTGACTTTCCGTGAACATGAGTTTTTTCATTTTTTACCTGCAGTCAAGTCAGACCTGAGCAGCTTCAGCGGGACCGTTCCCCCTCATCTGCTTATAGTCCCGACTGAGCTCTATCAGATTATTGGATATTCGGAGAGATACAACCTCATCTAGAGAATATGAAAATTTGCACCATTTATGTGAAAAACAGGGAAAAATGAATTCTTTGATTCGCGGCTAGCTGGCTTTTGAAGGTATTGTATCCACAAGTTATCTGAACATTGCCAACATGTCGTGGACCACGACGGTGCATACTGCTAATCTTTGATTAATCCTGCTTTTGTATTATTCACAAATAAAACAAGGGACAGTTACTTTCCTGCCAACATAATATCTGATAAATTAGGACAGGAACATGCAGGTTGATGACTAAATTTTTCAACAATAGGATATTCCAACTCATCGAATGACATTCCATCTACAAACGTTCAAATCAACTGAAAATTTATTTTCTACTATTGTCCGTGTACCATTCTCACGAAATTTGAAATGGATTTTCACTAAAATTAGAAAACTATAGTATTCATCAAAAAAATCAGAACAAAAAACATCGTCGTCTTCAATAAAAGCTCACCCTATACGTGCTCTTTGAGCTTAATAATCTTAGTTGCTTCAAAGCATCAAAATTTTGTCAACCGATAGGAAATTTTTCGTATAATTACCAACATTTTTTCAGTTGACAAATTCTTATTTTCTTTTGAAGGAACCGAAAAAAAATGAGCTCAAAGCGCACATTCAAGGATAACTTCTATTAGAGTCGTTTTTGTTTCAATTTTTCAACTTTTGCTGTAAAACTTTTATCCACACATCATCCAAACTTTCATGACCATACATTGGAGTCTAATTTTCTCAAAAGCGGAATTCTCTGCCTCCGACGACACTTAGCATATCTCACTTCCTTTATCATTTTCCATTAGTTGTTTTCTCATTTTCCACGAATCCCATTATCCGCTTTGCCCCGTGCCCCCTTTACCCCATTCACCGACACCTTCTCCGTTTCAATTCGGCGGAATTCCTTTTCTTCGTCGGAAATGGCGCAACACGTCCTCAATTGTCTTCCAAACTCCTTTCATCTTTTTGAACCACTCGAACAGTCAACCTGTTGTGCAATATGGCATCTGTATGAGACGAGTGCTGTATGTCCGTCATGCTATTCTTTTGGGAATGATTTTCAAAAGAAATCCGTTTTTTCTCCTGGGAAACCGTCAAAAAGAGCATAAACTTTACAACATATCTATGGCTAGATCTGCTAAACAGCCGCCGGTTGTAAATAAAGCCCTGTTGGCCTGTCTGGTCGGAATATGCTCTTAAAAACAACTTAGCTCCAGGGAAAACGGGAAAGAATGACTGAACTTGAACAGGAAACCGAGGAGTTTGAGCAAAGGGACCATCATAAAAAACGAGGTTTCTGTAGTCGTAAAATACACCCATCTGGTAATACATCACGTAACGGTATCCATGAAGAGTTACTTATAACTTTTTATGGTACTCAAGAATAACACTTACACCTTACTCAACATCCAAGAGTCCAAGTTTCCCAGAAAATAGTCTATTCATCTTGTTCTCTATTTGTTCAATCGGCTCCATAACAAAGATGATCAGTCTAAACCAATTAGTGAGAGAGTACCGGCTAATCCTTTTGTTGCACAATCAATTGTTTTGCGGCAAACCTGAACACATGTCTACAGTATCATCGTGCGGACTAACACTGTATGGGACAGTGTGTAACTTAACACAGCAATATCGATGCCGCAAAAAAAAAGAGAATTTCGGGAGTAGATTTATTGTATTCAAGACAATAGTTATTGCGGTTTAGTCAAGCAGAAAAAAATACTCGAGGAGAATTTGATGATTTGGTGTTCAAAACCACAGAAAAATTGGATCGAGGGGTCTGAGGAGAAAGGGATTTTGAAATTTTGAAAGTTCAATTTTTCGTTCAGCAAGACAGAAAGAAACTGTGGAGAGATTTCACTACTGGTAGGAAGGGAAGATCGGGGGAATCGAAGAAAAAGAGAAACGGGCGAGACTGAAATAAAGCGAATTCAGGTTGGGTGAATGAGGAATGCTCGGTTTTTAGAGTTAAAATGACAATTAAAAGGGAACATTTGACAGGAACACAGTTAAAAGATTTTGAAAAAAAGAACACAATTTACGAGGTAAAATGGGCAGGAGAAACATAGCATACAAATTCAAGTCATTTCGATCCATAGAAAATGAGGAACATAGAAAACGGAGAGAGAGAGAGAAGTTCATAATAACACTGGTTTGCGATGTACAAACGGAATGAGAAGATGGGATTGGGACAGATCAAAAAGAATAAAATCGAATCATGTAAGACACGTTGGATGGTTAAATGAAGGGAAGCATGGATCGATTCTACAGAGATTTACTCTATCTAAAGATTAAGGAGGTTAGAAGAGAGGAATACACCAGCTAAAACAAAGTTTCCAGAAACATGTTCGAAAAAAATGGTTTCAAGATAATCTAGGAGGAAAACACTGGTTTGCAGTTCCCAAACGGAATGAGAGGATGGGATGGGGACAGATCAAAAAATAAAAGCGAATCATGTAAAACACTTCGGGCGGTTGAATGAATGGAGAATTGGGCCAATGCTACAGAGATTTACTCTATCTAAATGTGAACTAGGTTAGAAGGAAGCAGTACACTAGGCAAAATAGTTTTTCCAGAAACATGTTTGAACGATAATAGATTCAAAATCCTGTACATATTTCCTTTGATGAAATCCCACCCAAACTGTCAACTTTCAGCTCAATTATCTCAATTTCTGAAAGAGATAACAAAACATTTTTAACTGATAAAGTATTAATGATAATACTGCCAATATTTTATCAGTTGACAAAAGTTTTATATCTCTTATAGAAACTTATGTAATTGAACTCAAAGTTGACGGTTTGGGTAAACTTCTATTAGTGGAAATACGGTATTTTAGAAGAAGACTGGTGGAATCCGTCTGAAGTAGAGCTATGAGAATTATGATTATTCAGTGATTCTAGTGAGGTACGACACATAATCAAGTAATTAGTGACATGAAAGAAGAAGACGGAACGGGGATGAAACGAAAGATTATGAAATTTGATAGTCTTTCAGAAGATAGTTTTGCTTTTGGAGTTTAGTGGGATTAAAATAGGCTTTTTGAAATTTCTTGAGTGATTTGGGAGGAGGTATATGGTAGAAAAGAAGGATGAAATCAAGAATTGAAATTTCTGAATCTTTGGGAATATGGTAAAAGAGAAGAAATTATTGATTATTCGAAGTTGCACATCGGCATGATTGATGGCGCCTCAAATGTTTCTTCCGTCGTATGCTCCAGCGTTATTGGCGGCTCCATGGTTGGCATCCGGATTGACGACTGGATCGGCTGGATAGGGATAGGCAGCTGCTCCTGGATTGGCAGCTGGGTAACCTCCATAATAAGCTCCGACCCCGTGATAAGGTTCAGGGTAACGAGCTGGTTCAAGGTAACGAGCTCCAGTGTACGCTTGAGGATGAGCTCCGGGATAAGCACCGTATCCTGGGTATGCAGCCGCTCCTTGATTGGATCCTGGACGGGCAACAAGATGAGTCGGGGCTCCACCGTAAGCATTTGCTCCTTGGTTGGATCCTGGTTGGGCAGCAAGATGAGTCTGGGATCCAGGGTAGCCATTTGTAGCTTGATTTGATCCTGGTCTGCCAGAGAAATGAGTTGGAGATCCGGGGTAAACTCCACCATAAGCCTCATGATTAGCTCCAGGGTAGCCAGTAGGATAGACATTCATCCCAGGATAGCCTCCGGCGTATGCTCCATAATTAGCAGCTTCAGGAACAGCGCCAGCTCCGTTCGGAGAAGAACGAGATGCGATTCCGTTAGATGGTCCAGTTATATTAGCAGCTGCTGGAACATCACTTGATCTGGCGGCTTGAGTATTTGAAGAACTGCATCCAAAGTATCCCGCTGCATTGCTCGTAGACACATTTTGCTGATAATGCGAGTGTCCTGGATATGTGTATCCTCCAAGCCCTTGTTGAGCTCCCATTGATGTGCTAGCAGTGCTAGTGAAAGGTGGGTAAACACGGTAATCCTGCTGCTGTGTTGTTGCCGGCCGTCCTCCATAGTCAAAACCATTTTGCTTTTGGAGCTGCTCGTATCGCGCACGTTCCGCTAGCGTACGACGATTTTGCTCTTCTTGCATCATCTGCTCTTGATGCATCAGTGCTTGATTTGGAACTGCAGGAGATCCTGGAGCTTGAGCTTGTTGGGCAGCGTATGTGTTGCTGAAAAATATTAAATATAGTTCACTACAGTATCTTCGATGGGAGGATATAATCCTCGGTATTACTCACTTTCCATTATTGGCATTGAGTTCTTGTGAAAGCCCATTTGCTCCATTTCGTGCTGATTTACGGTCTTTATTTTTTGGTGGTCGTCCAACAGGCCGTTTAGGCGTGGATGTGATTGGAGCTGTTGGCAGGACATTGTTGGCGGGTGGTGGTAGTCTGAAACAATTTTGTTTATAGGAATTTTCTGAAAATGTAGACAGGCATCACAAAACAAACTTACACAGCGTTGTAGATATTCCGACTCCAGTCTCTATCATCCACATCTGGTATCAGAGCCACCGGAACAGCTGGATGTGATGGATTTGCTCTGAAATTGATCTTTTTCAGTACTTGATGGCTAATAGATTTGAACAGTTTTATTTCCATGGGCATACATGTCGCGGGACGGGTCGGTGGGGCAACTTTTATCGGCCCCGGTAGTTTAAAGCAAAATTTTGAAAGCCTTTTTTTGAGATAAAAATTGGTTTTTTATGATTTTTAAATCAAAATTTCTTTGTTTTGAGCCTTGAGAAGAAACGTGGGCTTAATTTCTTGAAGCTTCAGGACTTCAAAATGATCATTCTGACAAACATGTGACCAAGAACAACAGAAAAATTGTACTGTTTGGAACCCGGGCCGGGCCGGAATTTTTTTTTGAATTCTTTGACGAGCTCTATAAATACGTTACCTCTCCAGATTGCCGTTGGTTTTGATCTGATCTCCATTCTGATTCTGAACACTGTTGCTCACGACTTCCTTGATCTCCAATTCCATTTTCGCCTCGTTAGCCTCCTTTTGTGTTGAAACAGAGCTGAAAAAAAGTTTCGAGTACAGATGAGTTCACAATTAGATAAAACATACTCGATAGCTTTGGTATCTTCTTTCTTTTCATCCTGGGCACTTTCAATATTATTTTCTGCTTTATCCTGGACGGCTTCAACATCTTCTTCAACTTCATCCTCATCCTCTTCATCCTCTTCCACTTCACTATCCTCGACTTCTTCGTCTTCGTCATCGAATTCCACCTCTTCGTCATCGAATTCCTCATAAGTTTTCCTGGAAGTCCTTCCCGAGCTTCTGGTAACCATAGAGGTTGGAGCATGTAGCTTCTTGTCAGTCTCCTTCTTTTTCTTTTTCTGCTTTTTGTCTTGAATTTCTTCCTGTTCTTCTTCTTCTTCCTCGTCATTTTCTTCAGAAGACACTCGCTTACGTGGACGGCCTCTGAAAAAATCAAATCATCACTGTAAAGCCTAGCGGAGCCTAGCGGAGCCTAGCGGAGCCTAGCGGAGCCTAGCGGAGCCTAGCCGAGCCTAGCCGAGCCTAGCCGAGCCTAGCCGAGCCTAGCCGAGCCTAGCCGAGCCTAGCCGAGCCTAGCCGAGCCTAGCCGAGCCTAGCCGAGCCTAGCCGAGCCTAGCCGAGCCTAGCCGAGCCTAGCCGAGCCTAGCCGAGCCTAGCCGAGCCTAGCCGAGCCTAGCCGAGCCTAGCCGAGCCGAGCCTAGCCGAGCCTAGCCGAGCCTAGCCGAGCCTAGCCGAGCCTAGCCGAGCCTAGCCGAGCCTAGCCGAGCCTAGCCGAGCCTAGCCGAGCCTAGCCGAGCCTAGCCGAGCCTAGCCGAGCCTAGCCGAGCCTAGCCGAGCCTAGCCGAGCCTAGCCGAGCCTAGCCGAGCCTAGCCGAGCCTAGCCGAGCCTAGCCGAGCCTAGCCGAGCCTAGCCGAGCCTAGCCGAGCCTAGCCGAGCCTAGCCGAGCCTAGCCGAGCCTAGCCGAGCCTAGCCGAGCCTAGCCGAGCCTAGCCGAGCCTAGCCGAGCCTAG